ATTGTATGTATGTATATACATATATATATAGATTACGGTCGTGAACGGCTTTTGAGACGAATTTCTGTTTTCTCGAACAAAAATTCTTTCGTATTACTTTATGAAAATATAACGAAGCGTCGTTAAAAACACATTGTTAAATACACATATGTCTTCCAACGCTCATCGATGTGCCCTTGGCGTTCTGTGCAACATGTAACACATTCGAACGAAATCATCGATGACGATAAACCTGTATCTAATGTAACATAATTAATATACATTTGCTTGATTACATTTGCACCCTATTAACACGCTTCTTACAAATGTTCTTTTCAACATACACTCTCAAAATATGTCTCAATTTCGCGAGTAAGAGTTTTTCGATTGCTACACTGAACTGATCTGATCTCTAATCACTTTTAGTAGATTCATATTATTTTTTTAGTAAATTCATATTATTCAACGTTCAGCTTATATAATGTAAAGAAACAATGATTTTATCGGTATTATCAGTTTGCACAAAAAATTTGCGGACATTATTATCTTGGACGATTATTGTACGGTTCCACCTTTCGGTCCCTTCATTCTCTTTTTCTTTGATCTGAACGTTCTACTTTCATGACCCCGACTCACTGTTTCTCTCGTTTATGCTCCTTCTCTTCTGACGATTCTTCTCGAACGGCTGAAACCATTCTTAACATCAGAATGGCCAATAATTTGTCTAGTGGATCCATAAAACCTCGTTGAATCCATTTCGGTATCGTTGTACGGGCATGAGAGAATCCTAACTTTTGCAAGATGTAATCTATTCCATAAGGCTCAATGCTTTTGCCAGCCCACGAAAGCAATCTTTGGCGTAAAGAATAAAAGTTACACGATTTAATAGCAACAATGATAAATGAGAAATTTCATCATTACCTTACGGTCGGTTCAACATGCCATGTTTTACACCTGTATGATCGCCAATCTTTAATAAACATCTCCGCTGGATCGAACTGTTTGCGTTTCTTCTCGTCTTCGGAAGTGATCGTCGTTGTAGCGGAAGTACTGGCAGTGTTCGTAGTTCCGCCTTTCTTTTCTTGAGGATCTGGACTATGCGCTCGTGCACCCATGTTCTAAATGGTTACGTAACAAATATAACATAGAAAAATTGCTTTCCATAATGTGTGATTGCTTGGAATATACACAAACATATTTACCACTTTCTCCTTTTCCTTAACGTATGAAGTAATTAAATCATGAAGGAAGAAAAAGGCCTCTGCGTCTACCGTAACGAAAATGTGGTCCTCGAACTCGGTAATGAAACTACATTCAACTAGTGGTTTTTCACCTGTTAAAAAAAAAAAAAA